TGCGGTGGCCTCGGCCTCGCTCCTCGCTGAGGTCTCCGTGTGAGACTCGCTTTCACAGCTGGTGTTACCGCTCCTCCCCTTCCACTCAAAAGCAGCTTCTCCCCCACAGCATTTTTCATGAATTCCCCGCTCACTTTCCTGTTTTTTTGTTTTTTTTTAAACCACTGGTTCTAAAACCAAAGCACATTTTTCCCCCCAATAGGAGTCTAGCATGAAGCATGAATTCCTGAACTTCCCAGAATATGTGTGTTTGGCTTTCAGCAGTCATGCGCACCAGCCGGCACCACGGCCCTGTGGTTAATCATTGTGAGCCTGGCCGGGGAAACAACCTTATTTTTCTAGTGATTTACTTTAATCCCTCCCAGCAAGAAACTACAATTATTTTCTTCTCTTTGGATGAGTCATCCAGAAGCAGCCTCCCTAGCTTAGCCATGAACTCTTCTGTCAACTTGCCTTTTAAAATTAAGGTAGTTGTGTGCACTTTTAGCCAAAAGCAAAGTTATGCATTATTAAGACTATTTCTGACTTTAGTCTTTGGGGACTAGGGAAGAAACTTATTTTTAGAAGTAAGTATATATGTGATACGTGTAAATATATATATTACAAATATCAGTACCAGTTATTAATATCATCTGGTCTTAGAAAATGTTCACCACCCCAAAGGAAAATAAGATTTCAATGGTTAGTTGGTGAGGTTATAAATTGCATTCTACTCCCAGCTGTGGGCTTAAGTCATGTTTGGGCAACCATTATTTATCCCCAAACTAATTTCAATTTTAGTGATTTATTATGCCGGCGAAGCAATCTTCTGTGGCTATTTTGTGTTGTTTAAGTCCCCGTGGCAAATTGCCCCTCCCATGCAAGATGCTCATGACACATAGCCAAAAGCTATAGATCTACTAATGCAAAATTATGACAGAGCCTGGTTGCAAATGCTTTTTAATGTAGCTCATTGAAGAGGACACTTTAGACCTCTCTTTGTTTCATTACTAACACACATGCTGTCAATCACTTCACACCCTCTCCCCGGACTCCCAAGGCTTCCCGGTGCACGTTCGCACATTAGCTGGCGCAGATCCACAGCCTAGCGGGCATGGTAGGGATCGGGGGTCTCGCGGCTCACTGCCCACGCTCTGTGGCGCGCCCACTCTCCATCCATTTCTTGGCTTCGGTTGAGCCTTCACGCTACCTCTCTCTCCGCTCTCAGCCATGTCTGATCCAGTCCTTTTCCCCTTATGTGAATAGAGTCCAAACTCGACCCTTCTCTGTCCTGGCCCATTAAGATCTAATGTGCAGTAGGACATGGTGAGCTTTGACTCAGCATTAACAGCCGGCTGAGGTCAGGACCGGGGTGGTGGCGGCTGCTAACCGTGCGCACGCTCCGTGCCCCCCTCCTGCCAGGACCCGTTCTGGGGGTTTAGAACTCATTCCCCCCTCGGGCTCCTTCCTCTAGAGCGTGGTTCTCGGCCCGGGTTCCCCTTGGCGTTCTGTGCGGACAGAGAGGGAAAGGGCAGGGCTGGTCTCGTCGCGTGATTCTCTCTTTGACTCTCAGATAACCACCGCTGTGGGCAGCTTTTAGGCTCCCCCCACCCAGGTCCCTGACATCTGGGATTTATGACTCAGCTCCATTTGGTTTCATTCCAACATGCAAGGCTCGCTCTTAAAACTACTTCGTATTCAGGAATACAGTGTCTCTTCTTCCCCGCCCCCTGCCACATACACACACATCCAACGCGCTCCATCTGACATTGAGAAAGACCCCCTGCTGACAACTCGCTAGAATTTAAGCAAGCCCATCCACTTGGAGCTGGGCATTTGGTTCTGATAAATCCCTGGGTCTGGGTACCCGGAAGGAAGGCTCAGAGGAGAGAGGCCAGATGCTGGATGAGCTGTTACATCTGTCTTTCTCCCCGCAAAGAGTGGCAGTGAGCTTGAGGCATAGGTCAAGTGAAATCAGTCTGTAGATCAATTCTCGACCCGGCGCCTCGCTGAGCTTCTCCGTGGCCTGAGATCCGTCGGCATCCCCGCCGAAAGATCCGCTCCAAACTCGGGGGAAGGTTTGCCAAACACAAAGCACGGGATGTATCTGTGTCTGACACTTCATTTTCAAAGGGCATCGTGTGTGTAGCCTGCTGCTTCTCCGTTCCCCAAATGCATCCCTACACTGTCAGACTTGTACAAACCCTAGCACGTGTTTGACCTGTGCAAGACACCAGCCTAGCTCGGCCTCCGTCCCAGCTTCGTAGTCTCCAGGAGAAAACACACACACACACACACACACACACACACACGCACATGCACATGCGCACACACACACGCGCGCACACACACACACACACACACACACGAGACTTTGGGTGCCTGGAGGCGGGAATGTCAAGTGACCCGCATGTCACATGACCGCTCCCATCCAGCCATTTGCAGATCAGAGCGCAGCCATGCACAGAGGGGCCGGGGAGCAGCACCCAACCTCATACCACGCTCTCTGTGGCAGGCTCACAGCAGTACCACTGGCTTAGGTGGCAGGCTCTTCCTGGATTCTTGATTGGATCATTGATATTATCTGCTAAACAATCTCCATCTCTCCGGTCCCTCTTAATATCACAAATATGCCTCCAGTGATCTTTCTAATATGTTATATGTGTGTATATATATATATTAATTTTACATTATATAATATATGCAATAACATAAAATACTTTGCACCTGCTACATACAGGGGAAAAACACGTTTTCCTAAGTAAAGCACTCAAAAAGCCTTCCTATGGTTGGCCTGGAGTTATTTCCCAGTGTCCTCTGCATCGGCTCTGCCTCCCTCAGTGTGAATGAATCTCGCAGGCTCGCCACCTGCCATGGGCCAACTTTTTTGTGTGTTTCGGTTTTGGTTTTTGTTCTTTAACTTCTATGGTTTTGCGCATGTTGGGCCCAGAGGTAAAGCTCTCTCCCCAGCACCCAGCTCTTCTGGGGAATGTTACCCCCACCCCCTCACAGGTCTCCCTGGCTGGACTCTTGGCGTGTTGCGTGTGCCGGGTCTGTAGTTCCACACCGGTCTGTAGTTCCAGCGTGGGCCCTCTCCTTTGGCCCTCCTCCCATGGAAGCAATCCTGTTGCTGACCTTCCTCTCTCACTCTTGGTTTTAGCCTGTATTCGTGCGGATCGCTTGATTGAGCGTACACCCGAGTCCCCCCCAACCCCCCCCCCAGAGTAAGAATACCCACGGCTACCTCTGAATGCCCTCACGGTGGCGTTTCCTGCGCTTGATAAGCCATAACTCATCTCGACCTGTGCCTTGTCCCCTTCGATCGCTGGAGAACACTGAAATGGAGACAGGTTAAGTGAGTTCGTCTCCAAGCCACCGGCACCACAGGTGACAGACGGGAGACTCCGAGCCCGCGCACGCGCCCACGGCCTCTGACACGCGCGTGCACGCACCCTCTCACCCCGTCACCTTGAAGTGACCGCAGGCGCGGGGGTGACGTCTCCCTCTCGCTTTACTTCCTTTGCTTGGGCTCTTCCAACACAAATTCAGACGGCTTGAATTATTCATTAGACGGGGTTACTTCGGGTCACGAGCCGCCCGGGACGGGGAGGCGCATGATGCCCGATCTGGCGACCGGACAGACCACAGGCCCCGAATCTCAGCCGGGGTCCCTCGGATGTCCCCCGCCGTCCAGCCGCATTTACATGCTCCCTATTCAGTCATTCCCGCTTTTTCTTAAGGATGAACCTTTTCTCCTCCCACCCACCCCCCACCCCTGCCCCCCACCCCGTCGGCAGAGGACTTGAGAGACCCCCAAACTCCACCTGAGACCCGTGGAATTCACACAAAGAAACGAAAAGCCCCAGCAGCAGCTCACTGTCTTTCCGGAGTGCTCGCTGATGAGGATCAGAATGGGTTTCGTGGGCGTCCGTGGGAAAAGGAAGCCGACCGTGCATGACTCACCCGCCTTTCTCTCCAGGAGAGCCCTCACTCCAGAGCATTCTTTGCGGCCGTGGTTGGGCCGGGGTGCTGTGCCCGAGAATGGAGGTTGAGTAGAAGTGAGGTGCTTTGTGGCACACAGACGGGTTTTGCTCTGAGAAGGGAGCTGAGCCTCCACGCAGGGTGGCTGAGCTCACCAAACCCCACACGGGCCCAGGAGGTATTTTAGGGGAAAGATATTTGGGAACAATGATTAAAACGTGGTCTGCTGGGGCTGGGATGGTGGCTCAGAGGTAGAGTGCTTGCCTCGCATGCATGAGGCCCCGGGTTCGATTCCTCAGCACCCCATGAACAGAAAAAGCCGGAAGTGGCACTGTGGCTTAAGGGGTAGAGTGCTTGCCTTGAGCTGAAGAGCTGAGGGACAGCGCCCAGGCCCAGAGTTCAAGCCCCACGACCAACCAAAAAAAAAACAGTGATATGCTTTATTTTTTTTCTAGATTTTAAGATGCGTCGTGTACTTGCCAGCTTTCCAATGTATAGAATTCTTTTCATTTGTCTTCTTCTGAAGTCTCTCTTATTCCCAATCTCACAGTTGTGCTTTTATAATATATTTTCTCAAAGAGACCTGCCGCTCCCCCCCCAAAAAAAAAATTATATTCGCAGCCTGGAGCTCCCCAGAGTCATGGGACCCCTGGACAAAACTTTGACTTTCTCTGTCTCAAAGAACTCTGCTCCAGCCTCGGCCCCCACAATTCTGGGAGTGTTCGCTGGGCGGCTCCTGTAGGATACTAAATGACCTTCCTGCAGGCAGGCCCCTGTTTCAGGGTCGGTGGGGGTCCGTTTCCTGACGGTCCCCGAGACTGGAGCTCTCACTGGGGTGCACAGGGATGCGGAGCTGGGCTTCGTGCCCAAGCTCTCCAGCCACACAGGGTCCCCTGCTGGGGTGGGGAACGGGGTGGGGCTGGGGGGGCTCTCTGCCGGCCCGCCTCGCGTTTGCATCACGTTTGGGCCGTGGGATACACGAGGCCACTGCCCCCCTCCAACAGCGCGGGTACTGATCAGCCCTCTCCTCACCTTGACAGAGTCGGCGTGGACCTGGAAGAAGACCAGAAGCCGGAGCCCTCTGCACACCAGGCAAGTCACAGCAGTGTCCGCGGGATGCCACCCTCCTCCGTGGGCTGTCCCACGCTGGTCGGTCCCACGGGGGGCCCAGAGGCTCGTTCTAAATGGGGGGGCGCCTCTGCCGATAGAACAGGAGAATGCACGCCGATCGCGTGTGCCACATGCACGCTCACAGCTAGCACGTCCGTACGGCCCGTGTGTGCAGCTGTGAGCACCACAGGCCCCTGTCGGTGTCAGAGTCAAACAGCCTCCGCCTGACCTCCGTCCCTGCCCAGCCACGGGCCAGCTCACGCCGTGAACCACCACCCCCCCGACTTAACGTCCAGACCACAGGGGGACCCGCGTCTCCCGCACTGCTGCTCACAGCTCAGGTGTTAGGTGAACAGGAAAATAGAAACAGACAGGAGCCGGCAAAGTGACCCACGCCAGCTGGGCCTGACCCAGCGTCTACCGAGATCTCAACAGATCTACAGAGATCCAGGGGTCCCAGCAGCGTGGAACTCCCTCGAGTCGTGGGAAAAAATAATTCTCCAAACCCTGGATTTGAACCCGACCTCAGTGTAGAATCTGCCTTTGTCCAGACTGCGTGAGACGTTGGGTGACTTGGACAGACAGACGGCTGGCCGTGGAGACGCGGCTCCCTCGGCTGAAGGGCAGACGGGGCAGGGTGATCCGGAGAATGTTATAACGGGTGACGTGGCTTAATAGTCGACTCGTGTTCCGATTGTATTTGCCTTTGAAAACGGTGCACCCCTCTTTGATCTTGGGGGTTCCCCGAGGGCGTGGCTGGTTTGGGGGTATACCTGGCACCTTGCCGCTTCCTGGAAAGCAGGAAGGATCCCGGGCTCTGCAGAGAAGTCAGCCAGGAGCTAGACTCGGGTGTGCTTTGCGTTTCCCTGTCACGTGTGTTCCGAGGTCAAGCAGTGCCATCTTCACATTGCTCAAAGCCAGCAAACGCACCTCAACGCCAGGATATCGTGAGCTCCTCATCTCCAGGGCCAACTCGGTGATCTTCTTAGAAAGGGGATCAAAGCCCGGCTCCGGGGCCCCATGGCTCTAACAAGCAGCTAGTAAGGTCTGGAGGTGGCTGATTCTTATTTTTTCAAACGCGTTTTCATCATCTGTAGCTGAAATGATCTATTCTCCTGCCTTCAAGTCCAACTTTTTATCTACATTTGGGCCTTCCTCTACACAGACCATTTTGCTCTCAAAGAAAAAAAAAAGAGTAAGGATATTCATCAAAGAGAAGTCTTTACCTTCTTCGGTCTACCATTCTACAGTCACATATAACTCTAGGCAAAAAAAAGAAAGCCTTCCCGCCAACCTAACTTCCTTCCTTTAAAAATATAGATGTACTTTACTTCCATTCACCTGTGGGATAACTTTGAAACAAATCTCACCGTTGTTAATTCGCTGTTAATTCAAGAGCTCAAGGTGATCAAAGGTCTTTAGCCCTTGTAAGAAAAATAGTACAACCTACTCCATGATACTGTGAGCAAGACAAGTTTTCCCAGCTTAGAGTCTCCGTTTCCCTGTCTGTACAAGGGAAGCAATAGTCATGTCTACTTCTCCAGCCCATCACGATAATCGAGAGAAATTATGTATATAAAAATTATCTACCGTAAGCTAAACCCATCTCATTCTGCAGAAGAGTTGAAGCCACCTGCACCCCGACAGACAGGGAAGTAGCAATAGGGTATTTTTAGTGAACTTTAAAGTTCAGTACAATAAGGAACAAAAGCAGAAGCACAGAGAGGTTAAAAAATGTAAACAGATCATGAGGATTATCTATTCACTGTAGCCCAAACACAAGTAACCTTTCCAAGAGTCAAAGGAGGTGGCAAAAGACAATTATTAGTCTATATGTATATATATGTACACACACATGTATATCTATATGTATATCTATACATATATGTATATCTGCATATACACACATATGTATATCTACACATATGCATGTATGTTTATATATCTATCAACACGTATATGTATAGATGGATATATACACACATATAAATTTGTGTATGTATAGATGAATATACAGATGTATATATACACATATATGTGTGTGTATATACACACACACATATGAATACTAAATTCTTGAGAAGGAAAAAGACCTGTACCCTCTCCTTGGGTAGTACAAAAACTTCACAGCTCACTATATTTCAACACAAATTCCTTACCTAGACCCTCTATAGAGGACATAAAGAGCTATCAAAATGTTCAATAGAGCCGGGCGCCGGCGGCTCACACCTGTCATCCTAGCTATTCGGGAGGCTGAGATCCGAGGATTGGCGTTGGAAGCCAGCCTGGGTAGGAAAGTCCACGGAACACTCACCTCCAACTAAGCCCCACAAAAGCCAGAAGTGGAGCTGTGGTGCATGTGGTAGAACGCTAGCCTTGACCAAAAAAAAAAAGCTTAGGGAGAGCGCCCTGGCTCTGAGTTCAAGCCCCGGCACCCAACCAAAAAGGAAAATAAACCCAAGTAATACCACGGGCGTGGTTCCCAGCGCCTCCAAAGAGCTTTACTTTGCACAGTGTCATCACAACGTCCCATTCCCAAAGCGAGCGCAAGCCAGAGAGGGGTTGGCTTCTCTCCGTGCCTTGCGGTAATTGCTCCCTCGACGGTTCAGTACAGGAAATGTGCCCGTTGCCCACAACGGCCCTTCTCAGCTCGGCTCTTGTTTTACCCGGAAGCCCTGCGATGATTCCCAGCACCCGCGGAGCTGTCGGGCTCGGGAGCCTGACCCTAAGTCTGAAGGGGATGGGGCACTTCCACGTGGTTTATCAAGCCAGGTTTCCACCAACAAGCAGGACAGCAGCCTGTGCACTGGAGCCAGCCCCCAAAACAAGAAGAGCCTACCCTTACTTATGCAAAAGCTCGAGACCTTCCGCGTGTGTCTGGCCCAGCCACACGTGTGAATCTCCAGCCAGCCACGCGCTGGGTGCAGACACGCCCCTCTGAGAAACGAAGCCTGTGTCTCTCGAAGCCAAAACAGAACAGAAGCGCCCGGGCATGCCTCCCTGCCTGCTCTGGAAGGTTCTCTTGTAATCCAGCCCCCGTCTTTGGGAGCGTGCTGTGCGGAGGAGGGGCGAATCCCCAGAGCAAGGGTTTTTGAGGTCCGTGGGCAACACTGGGACGTTGGCACTGCTGCTTCATCCCACGGATCAACAGTTACAAGAACATTCTAGAAACCAGGTGTCTTTGGTCGAACCTACTGCCAGGGTGCATGCAAAAGGCCAGTGAAGCCGGCGGGGGTGAGGAATCGGGGTGTCTGATGTCCCTGGTCCATCACGTAGACCATTTGAACCGAGGGAAGGAGTTTGGATCCCGTGATCATGGACAGGACTTGGGTCACACGATCACTGATAGGCCTTGACTCCTCTGACCAGCCCTGAGGCTTATTTCACACCCACAGTGTCAGTTACACATTCCGTGAGTGTCTGAAGAAAGATGCATCGCGGGCAGCCGCCGTACAGCACTGCAAACAACCGCCGAACGTGGTTCCTGCAATTAGTATCACCTGCCCACAGAAAGCCATAGCCTAGCCGGGCGCTGGTGGCTCACGCCTGTAATCCTAGCTACTCAGGAGGCTGAGATCTGAGGATCGAGGTTCAAAGCCAGCCCGGGCAGGAGAGACCGTGAGACTCCTATCTCCAATAAACCACCAGAAAACCGGAAGTGGCGCTGTAGCTCAAGTGGTAGAGCACTGGCCTTGAGCTGAAGAGCTGAGGGGCAGCGCCCAGGCCCAGAGTTCAAGCCCCACGACCGACAAAAAAAAAAGAAAGAAAGCCGTAGCCTAGATCAGACCACTGGTGACGAAGAAAATACTTGTTCTTCTGCACCATATCCAATCGATGAGTTCTCTTTTTTAACATCTCCTCCTTTGATCAGTGACTGATGAAATTGTATCTCATAGACACACTATTTTATAAGCCACTGGTAAAACTGAAAGGAGGACTTCCCCTGTTGCTCTTAACTTAGTTTTGTCAGAGTTTTTTTGTTTTTTTTTTTTTTGTTTCTCCCTTAGGGCTTCAAATAACTCCAAAACAAAGAGCAGCCTCCTCTTTTCCCTATTCTGGGCATTTCTAAGCATGAGAGTTCACTGAAAAGAAACATATCCATTTCCTACCGTGCCCAGCCATTTTCCAACCTCTGGCCCGTTCCTTGGTTTAAGGAGAACACAGAAAGAGATCAAATTGCCTACCCATTTTTAAATATTTCCAGAACTAGGCGATGATAAGGGAGGCGAATCAAACACTCCGCTCCTTAGAAGCACCAAGGCAGGGGAAAGTTGAAATCCAGCACCCTTAACTCTCCATTTCCCACCCGTAGCTGCACCCGGTGAGGTTCTGAGCCGCTCAGTGCGCCATTATTATCCAAGGGTAGAAAGCCCTTTCCACCTTCTCTACGTCTTCGAACGTACCACCACTTCCCCTCTGAAATGAAGAAATATTGCCACTGATCATATATTTTATATTTATTAGATATTTATATTGCACGCACACGCACACATACACACACACCACCAAGCCCAGCTTCTATGTCTGATGGTGACTGTCCTATGCCCACCTGGTTACTCCCAGGAGCCCCTGCCCCTGCCAGCATGGCTGTCAGTGTCTGTGGACGCCAGCCTTCCCCTGGGCGCATTTATCTTCAACCCCCCCCCCCCCCCAGTGCCCGAACAGAACTCAACTCGATGAAACTCATTTATTTCTACTCATTTATGGATGGCCTTTCATAAGCAAGGTATTAAGTCATCAATAACTTCAGAGAAATAGATGAGAAGCTCTAGAACTGGGCCAACAGATGATTTAAGACACAGACGCGCTGAACATGGTAACAAGGATCCCGCGAAAAGCCCGCGCTGGGTCGGCAGCGGAATGTCCCCCACCTGGCAAGATACACTGATTCGTTTCTCATTCCAATTATTATCCTATCACTGATGTTTTCTTCTAACTAGAACCCAGCGTGTTTCTCCACCACGTAGTGGAACAATTAACCTCTCCAGTCATCCGAGTACAATAAGGCTTAAAAATAAAGAGTACGCCATGTTGACAGTTCCCTAAAGTGATGCTAATCTACGTCGATCCTCCCACTGACAAACACATCCCCGTGGAGGTCAGTTCTGGAAGCTGAACTCAGGGCAAGCTGAACTTGCTGGGCAAACGCTCTGCCACTTGGGCCACGCCCCCAATCCTTTCCGCATTCGGGTTGGTTCTCAGATAGGGTCTCACGCTTGTGCCCGGTGAGCCTCGGCCTGTGATCCACCCACCTGTGTCTCCCTTGCGGCTGGGACCGCATCCGGCTCCTTGGAGCCTTTGCCGGAGGACGCGTAGGACGCGTTCTTGGAGGATATGACGTTAAGTTACCATCTCCTTCCCTTAGCAAATAACATTCACAAGAGAAGGAAGCGGGAAAGTCCAGCAGGGCGGCTTGCTAAGGTCTGCGGAGTCTGGGAAGATCTCCAGGAGGGTGTCTTTGGGGGTAGCAAGGCCATTGGCAGGATGAGGGGTGCTCTGCGTGTCCATTGTTTTGGGGTAGACGTGGCTTTTCTAGCTTGGTCTCCAGGAGCATGCCAATATCCTGTCTCAGCTTCTCCGTTTGCCCTGAGGGGTCCCCGCGTACAGCCTGAGGATCTAGCTCGGGGGACGCATCCAAGGGGCCAGGAACCCCAAGTATGCTTACAGACCTCTGACACCCCTCCTTCTCCCCACCCCCTAATCCCCCCTAGCCCAAGCCTCGGTTTCTTCCAGTGTGGAATGGAGACAAACTGGGGAATGCCATTTGAACGATGGGAGATCTTGGAACCAGGGAGCTTGGATTTGAATTTCATTGACTCTCTCTCTCCCTCCCTCCCTCCCTCCCTCCCTCCCTCCCTCCCTCCCTCTCTCTCCTCTCTCCCCCTCCCTCCTTCCCTCACCTGGTCCATTCACTCTTCCCTTTCTCCCCCCTCCCTCTCCCTTCCTCATTTTAGCCTGAAGATAAATGGAGAACTAAAACTAGGCCACATTTTTTTTTTCTTTCTTTCTTGTATCCGTCCGATGTGTCGGGAGCGGAGCTGCTCGGCTAGGGCAGGTGTTTCCCGGGGCTGAGGGCTGCACTTTCTGTCCAGCCATTTATCACCAGCCGTGGGACGGCCGGCTGAGGAAGGGCAAGAAATACCTGAGTTAAAAATGCAAGTGTTGAAGCAGGGGCGTAGGGTCAGCCCAGGGGATTCCCCGTCCTCCGCCATCATCCTGACCTTAGAGGATGGACGGCCGCATTGTTACTGGCTTACCGGGCCTGGGGCTGGGCAGAGCAGAAATCCGCTTGGAGCTCTAAGCGCTCTTAATGAGGGACGTGATCACAATTAGGGTTGACTGGAGTTCTCCTCCCGGAAGTAAAGCATGCTGCCGACTACACTTGCTATGATTTTTGTCCCAAAAGGATCTCACCTGCCTTTCTTTCTCCATTCTTGCATTTTCATTCTCCCAGAAATGCCATCAACTCATGTTTCTTTTCCCCCTTTTAATTCCTTTCTTTCTCCCCACTCCCGGGGTAAGGGAGAGACAATGGTACTGAATTCTTACAAACTCATCACAAATGTCTCTCTCCGTGCTCTTCATAAACCACAGCACGCTGTCCAAAATCCACCTTTCATGATGATCTGTCAAAGAAGGAAAGAACCTAAATACCAGCATAACAATGATTAGACTGTTATCATTCCTTTAGCATCGACCTTTTGGTAATCCATAAATAAATGCCATCCACATCTGACAGAAGCAAACTGCAAAAGTCCCGCCGCAGCAATCTGACAGAAATACCACTTATGGATGTCAAAGAAAGTGGCATTTTTAGCTACCTAAGAAAATTAGGATTATTAAGAAAAGCAAATGTCGACACGTGTTGCAAGAGTCATCTGCACAGGAAGATCTTCCAGCTGATTTGCTTGGCAGCTGCCTTACCATCCAAATGAATAGGCCTATACTTAGAAACCTTTCTTAATGTAGCTTGACTTCTCTGTGTGTGTGTGTGTGTGTGTACACACGCACGCCACATATGTACCAAGTTAAGCATCTCTCAGACTTTTCCTGCCTCCAACTGTGATCCTCAGATCTCAGCCTCCTTTGCAGCAAGGAATACAGGCATGAACCACCGGCGGCCGCCTTTTGACATGTGTTTTTATATTAGAACATGCGAGCTATTGATCTAACGCCTTGCTCCATGTTGCCTCTCCAGGAAGCAAACAGCGCGGATAAAAACGCCACAAGAACCGAGAGCGCGCTGCTGTTCAGAGTGTGTACGGCTTCGACCACAAGTATCCTTTGGCAAATGCTGCTGTGTGGCGGGGAACCTGCCCTGGATCGTGAAGCTGCGTGCTCCGCGCTCCTGAGAAACCAGGAAGGTAAGGCAAATTTGCAAATGTGGTTTTTTTTCCGAAGGTGGAGGTTGGGGGTGCGGGGGAGCGGAGAAGATGATCTCCAAAGGCTGAAAGAAAATACGACGGAGTCCAGACTTGAGTGCTTATGAAAAGCTAAAGTGCAATCTCCGAGTCGATGGTGTTTGGTGCTTGGTTGTGTTTTGGTTGGTTTGGGGGGGAGGGGTCTTGTGGTAGTCATCCGATCCTTTCTGATGGCAGGTGACAAAAATCATATCGTCCCAAAGGATCGATCTAGTTTGCTGTTCTTTGGAAGGATCTTATTTCCGGTTGGGTTGGTGGGAGAGCACGCTGGGGGGGCAGGTGTCACCCGTGCACTTTAATTTCCTGCCGTAAAAAAATAAATAAGCGAAGGGAGGGTGGGTGATCCGTTTCACCAAGCTATAACATAACGCTGCCGCGTTTGCTCCGGGCAGACTGGAGGCAGCTTTTCCTCCTGAAGGGGAATTCTAAAAGCGGTCACGGTCCGTGGGGACCCGGCAGCGTGTGGTTGGAAGGGCTGGCCAGTCGTGGCGGGACGCCGTGGGCAGTTCCCCGGGTCCCAGGCAAACGCATCCCGGGAGGAAGGCGGGAGCCGCACGGGGAGCGGAGCGCGGCGGCTCTCTGGGGCGGGGTCCCCTGGTCACCCGCCACCCCTCTCTCTCAAGGTAGGAAATGTTGATCTCAGAGGCGTCTGAAGCCCCGAAGCAGTGAGGAAAGCCACAACCGATCCCGGGGGAAAGAGAGAATGAAGAGCACAGGAAGGAAATTCAGAGCATAGGTGAAGAGGAGGTTACCCGGGGAAGGGAAGGGCGGGAGAGAGGAAGGGAAGGGGGGGGAGAGAGGAATGAAAGGAGGAAGACAGGAAACTCACTACAGAAATGGCCAGTAAATCAGAGAAAAGGAGGAAACGCTAACTAGCCAAGGCCAAGAGTAACACGCGGTGTGAAGTTGAGGATCGTGTCACCGTTGAGAGTTCCAGGAGGGAGGGCCGTGAGGCGGGTGTTTGGGGATCTCTGGGCTTTGTCCCTTCCTTCCAGCATGCCCGAGTCCATCACGCAGCCATGACCTAGGCCCCATGACCTACCTGAAGTCTTCCTCGCGGGGAGAGCTCTCTTCCAGCCGCAGGGTTTTCTTCCGCCTTTGCTTGTTACTCCCTGAGAAGTAGATCTTTAGAGAACTGGGCTGAAAGGTACACCTAAGGATTGCAAGGACATGGAAAGCTGGGGACACGCGAGCACAGATTTGTTTTTCAGATCCCGCAGGGCTGTCAGGAAGGCCTTGTTTTGCGATGGAAGCCAAAAAGGGCGGGGGGGGGGGGGGGGGGAGGTGGGGATTAACTCGGGGGAAAATGAGAAAATGGAAGGTGCACCCACTCAACTTACAGCCAGTGACACTAACTCCAGACGCTGCCATTGCCTTTGCCCGGGAAGTTTATTTCCATACGATTCAGTCAGCTTTGTGCGCTCCATGAAGCCTCTCCTCGTGGTCATCTGCCTCCCGCGCACGTCCATCCTAGAAATTGCCGTACAGACATCGCTGCGCACACGTCTACTTTTCCCCCTTAGACAGCAGAGCATTTGTGCCCTATTTAGGCGTTACATTTATACCTCGAGAGCAGCCAGCCAACCGGCGTCAGCTCTGCCACCTCCTGACAGACCTGTATTTCTAGACACAAATAATCCGCTTGGCATCTATTGTCCAAGACACCCCGAGTGTCCTCTATGCCAGCCACAGCCCCGCAGGGACGAGCCTTCTCGGGTTGGGAAGCCATTCCTGCTCTGTTCCCAGGCCGTTACAGCGGGCAGAGGAGACGTTCCAGAGAATGATTGGCAGGGCCGGGAGGTCGTGGAGGGGTGGGCTCTTCACCTACCGTGTTCAAAGCCCCCCCCCCGCCCCCTAAAAAAAGAAAGGGAGGAAGGAAGGGAAGTATTGGCAGAAGAAATACATAAGCCTGCAAACCACTGTGTCCGCCCGAGAGACAGGACCCAAGGGAAGCGATTTGCCTGTGTGCCGACATACCTGCGGATTTATTCCCAGAAATTGCTGGGGAAATGCACCTTCTCCAGGGTAGGCTGTCTGTGGGCAGGAGGTGGAGTGTGTGCGTGTGTGCGTGTGTGCGTGTGTGCGTGTGTGCGTGTGTGTGCGTGTGTGTGTGTGTGTGTGTGGTGTGTGTACCTGGACGGCACTGGGATTTACATCCAAGCCTTGTGCTTGCTAGGCGGGGGTTCTACTGCTTGAACTTCTTCCACTCCACGGTTCCGTCTTTACGTTCGCTGTTTCTGAGGTGGATTCTCACGTTATTCCAGGCCAGCCTGGACCGCGATCCTCCTATTTGCGCTTCTTTCCTGGGTCACTAGGGCAACAGGCCTGTTCTGTCCCAGTCGCTGCGCTTCCACCCCCCTAACCTCAGTAGCTAGGATGACCAGTACGTACCCCTGAACCTAGCCGTTGGCAGAACAACAGAGTGTCGCAAACGTGTCGGTGTTTTTTCCCCTCGGGCTAGCCTTGATCCCATTCCTCTTATTCCATCTGTAAAACTCATTAAAGAAAAGCCACCCGGGCAGCAGCGCGCGGTTATGCGTGCTTGCTCTCTAGGCATGGCTCTCAGCTCACACGTCAATTGGTGATGGGTGGAGGGTCACAGGCCCAGGGACCTCCGCTGACCAAACGCCACCGTGGAGAAAGGCGTGCCCAGGTTTCTGGGGCTCGTCTTCCATGTGTGGGGGCCGAGAGTCCACTATGCCGGGGTCTCTCGGTGTGGTTCATTCTCCTGAGTGACAGACCCACGCTGGCCGAGTTCGAAGGCAGCAGAAGCGTAGACCAGACAGACACCAAACTCCTCAGTCCCCGCTCCCCTTGGGAATAAACGTCCCTCCCCACCCCCCATCTGCCAGTGTGTCCCTCCACCCCGCCCTGGCCTTCCTCAGTCCACGTGAGCATCCGGTGTCTCTTCCCTTTACCTCTTTTTCATAGAATACACCCTTACCCCCCCCCCCCCCCCGCACGCCCCTTGGGTGCCTTTTGTTCACACCATCATTTGTCCCCAGCCGCAGGAGCAGCGCCCGGCAAAGAGCAGACGCTCAATAAATAATACTTGACCGAAAGCCTGAATTGATCAGGCCAGGAAGCGAGCGGTGTTTTTCCCAACAGAGCACGACCTTCCTCTGAGACACGGAGGTAGCAGGAGAAGCCAATTAGTTATCTGAAGGTCACCAAGCGAATCTGAGGCCAGAGCAAGGCCACGTGGGTAGAACGGGTGTTCCACTGGGGAGAGCCCCGGGAGACGGCCGGCACCCCTGGGCCCAGACTCAGGGCTCGCCCCTAGACTCAAAGAGCCACGCCCCCCCCCCAGAGGGACAGCCACGTGGGTTGAGTGTCCATTGTCCAGGACATACTGCCCCCAGAACGCTACAGGTGCGATCTTGAACGGGAAATGCGGTTAATAATAACACGCGCAAGGGTCCACGGTCCCCACGCTCAGGCTTTTGGATGAGCTAAACGCGGTTCTGAATTCCATTCAAAGGAAGGTGCGTTGAGACCAGAAAGCAGACCTGACCCCACCAACCCAGAAGTAAGACTCGCCGGCTCAAGTTCTGTGGGTGCCACTGATCTAGAACGGGGGGCGGGGGGAGGAGGGTCAGCTTAGGAGTCATGTTGAGACTGGGGGGGGGGGGAGGGAGGAACCTGGGACTCATCTCAGAACGCAAGATCTTAGTCCCGTGTCGCCTCCTAGAAAGACGCCACTGGACGCTGACATTAATATCTCCTTATTCACACCCAAAGACCGCCCAGCAAAGCATTCTCTTAGATTCCCACCGTCCTACAACGGACGTCACCTAGTACTAGGTGACAGATGGCCTTGCCCTCTGCTTCCTGCAGCCTCTGGGAGCCTTACCACTTACCCGCTGTCTCTCGAGGGTCTGCGTGTGTTCGTCCTACCCGCGCGAGTAACACAAGATAGAAAAAACGACCTCTGTCCAAAGACACAGGGCCTCGTGTCCAGCCCCCCCCACGCGCCGCCGTCCGCTGAAAACGAGCACATTCTCGCAGTCACGCACGGTTCACAGCGGGGAGCCGCGGGCGGGATGGCAGTTGGCACGCACACCAGAATTCCGCAAGGCCGCTGCTTTCCATTTTGAAGACATGGGTAGGTCCCAGGCCCCTCCCTGGGCCACGGGTGGCAGATGGAGATTCCATGGTAAAACAAGGAAGCGTGAACCCGCAGTAGATCTAACGGATTTCAACGCAAAGAAACGGATTTCTTTGATATATGTGTATATATATATAATATATATATAGCAAAGAATTGAATTCTGTCAAGCTTTAAGAGAGAAATATTATATATATAGTATATAGTATTATATATTATATATATAGTATATATATAATATAATATTTCTCTCTTAAAGCTTGACAGAATTCATTCCATCCCACACAGTCAAGCTTATGCTAAAATCCTAGGTATGAATATTGTGAGAGCAATTTCCATCTTAAACGATGCTCTTGGGCCATAGGATTTTGCTCTTTTGACTCTTAGGAGCCCCGGGAACTTTCTTTTTTGGGGGTGGTGCTGTGGCCTGGGGAATGACTGGAGTTTGCCTCCCAAAAGACTCCGAGAGAAAGGAAGAATGCTACGTCTCTGACCCAAGTCTCTCTGGTCTGAGCAATGAAGATAGTAGAAGTCCTTATGTCAGAGGTTTGATGGCCGAATGACTTAAATACTCGTACGACAGTGCTCAGTTGATGTCAGGGTTCTGTTGTCTTTGGAACCCAGCTGAGATACCTGTGTTCTCTCTCAAGGAGAAGTCTCACTTCTGTGAGGCGCTTCCTTGTTGGTGCTCATTGTGAGCCACCCCAATGTCCACTCTCTGCTTTCCAGGCAGTAAGTTTTCCATTGCAACAGCTGCATGTGAATCAGTGTTAGAAAGTCTTCAGTGTCTGTAAACAGGACTCTTCCCGATTCAGTCCGGGGCAGCGGCCATGGC